CCATGAATTCTTTTATTAAATAGTTTAGGCATAAAGTATATCAAATAACAGAATAAATATTCATTTGCTACCACCCAAGCTTAAGAAGCAAGACATTGCCAATAAAATGATTCTTCTGCCATTCCAGTCCTTTCCCTCCATTCTACACGAACACAGATTTTTAAATCAAGCTTCATGTAGATTGTATCTCGAAGGTCATTTTACACCTTTCTTTTGTGACTCAACCTCTGTAACAAGGAGTGGTATTGCTGGGCCATGAGTGTGTCCATCCTGAACTCCGCTCAGCCTCCCCAAGTCACTCCTAGACACTTCGCGGTCTGCACTCTCCAGCGTGGGGCATTCCCATTCTTCTCTTCATGGCTGTTGGCAAATATTGATTTGAACAAATTTGACAAAAATGAAATGTTGTCATTTTAATTGTGTTGTTCTGATGATCAGTGAGGTCAAGTGTATTTTGTTGGCATTCATTTTTTTGTTGAATTTGCTTGGAAATTACCTTTAGTATCCCGTTTTTCATAAGAATGCATATAAGCTAATCATATGCATTTTGAACATTTCCTAGTGCTTCAGATAAAATATCCCACCATTTTCACTGTAATTTAAATGTCAGTGACATACTGTTTTGCAAGAATATATATAGCAGTTTGACTTTACATATCTGATTTTGAAAGACTGTCATTTTATAGATTCATTGTTCCTTTACATAATAAAGCCCTGGAGCTCCCTGTTAGGCACAGCCTGAGAGGAAAGGGTAGAGTGTGAAGTTAGAGACCTGGCCCGGAACCTGGCTCCCCACACCGGGATCTGAGCCTTGAAATCTGCTTTCCCTCTTCAAGCCATGGTCTCTGCCTCTCCTGCCCTCAGCGGGGGTTGAGAACACTATGGATGGAGTGTCCTGTACAATGCCGTGCCTAGCACACACCGGCAGGAAATTGACGTTATTACAGTTAAGCAAAAGAAATGTCTTGCAAGCATATTTCCTATTTTGCCTTCCACCCATTACCTGCATGGAATCTCAAGCAGGGTTTCCATGTACAAAAAGAGTGAAATAGGTGTGTGTTTTGGTGTTTTTCAAAAGCATTACCCCTACTTTATGTTGGAGGAGGCTTTTTGATATTTTATCATGTTATTTTTTTCCTCTGTAGTAAATCTGAGAGGTAGGGCAGGATCCTTATTTATTCCCATTTTCCTGATAAGGAAAATCCATGGTAGAGCCAGGACAGGAAGCAGTTCCAGATTTCCACTCTAGGGGGCAGTGTCTCTGGTTGTCTTTTATGTTTAAGCTGATTTTTGTCCTTGAAGTGAAGGGCCTGGCTCTGGAATCAAGTTCCTGGGCTCTAATCCTTGCTCTGCTGCTTGATACGTGACCTATCTGGCAAGTTATGTGACCTTCATATGCAATAGTCTTATTTGTAGAGTGGGGGAAATTCTCCCACTTCATGGGGGTGTTGTGAAGTTTAAAAAACGTGTAAAGAGCTTAGGGTGCAGATACAAAGTGGCATGTCATTAAAATTTAACCATTAAGTAACCCAGGTTTGGGGGGAGATGGAAGTGGATGAAAGGTAAGGCTGGCCCTGATCATGTTGATAACAGGATGATGGCACAGGGGATTTGCTATTTGATGTTTTTATTTCTGAAAATTTCTTCCATAATAAAAACTAAAAGCATGTATAATTAAACATTTTTTCCATTTACACTTTTTGGTTTCTGAATTCTTTCCTTTAGATGCTTTTTAGGAGTAGGATCAGCAGTGGGATGTCTTACAATCATTGTAGAATGTGGCTGAACTGCTTTGGTACCTTGCGGCTACAATCCATGATCACACCAGTTTCACCAGAGCTTCAAACGACATGGGGTATCACAATGACATGTTTTGCATCCAATGTTATAAATAAAATTATACCTCACAATTATTTTAATGCCCCCTTTTTGCTTAGTAGAAACTGAGCATTTCCTTAATTGTGTTTAGCGGTGGTTATCATTTTAAAAAATCTCTATATATCTACTTATGTGCTTGGCACTTTCACCCGTCAGGGCTTTTTTTTTTTTTTTTAAAATATTTATTTTTCAGCTTTGGGCGGACACAATATCTTTGTTTGTATGTGGTGCTGAGGATTGAACCCGGGCCGCACGCATGCCAGGCGAGCGCGCTACCGCTTGAGCCACATCCCCAGCCCCGCCATCAGGGCTTTATAGACTCCATAGAGGAGTGGTAGAAAAAACTTATTTTAGCTGCCTAATTTTTAAGTGAGGGAGAAACTGTCCTCACTAGGTGGCTCTTAATATTTGGTTTTTAAAATTCCTTTTTCAATATATATTCATGGCAAAAATGTTTTTGATACTTTAAAAATCCAAAATGCAGGAATGCTTGTGATTGCCATAGTATCTCGATTTTGAGTGCTTTTGATTCCTGGGGGTCAAGTTTTATGCTGTAAGTACTGGGCCAAGCGTGCTCAGTTACTCTGAGGTGCAGCCTCTGCTGCTCCTCATCAGTGCTCCTCACCATGGTGTCCCTTTCATTGTGGACATCTGCTGTAGGAGGCCAGGCTGCAGTGGTCCCTTGTCAGTGAGATTTGGCCTCAGTAAATTTTCAGGTGTTTTTCTGGAAGGACAAGGAAACAATTCTGCTCCTGGTGTCTCTACCTACATGATGAATGTACTCGCCTCTTCTCTTTATTTCCCACTTTTCATGATACCAATTATAACTGCTAATTCCAATTCAGAGTATGCTCACCAGTCATCTCTAGAGCTTTTGAAATAGGATCAGCTGGTTTTAAGAAGACTCCTGAGTGGTCTGATATTTTTCAGGAATTTGAGTTTTATGGGATTGGCACTTTTGTATTAATTTTAATTATTATGACCCTTTTAAGAAAATTTGGATGCTAAATCTTCATATCATATAGTAGTTTATTTAAACTCTACGGGTTTCTTCTTTTAAAACCATGATTTGTAAGATAGCTTTTTACTATGGGTTTCTTATGTATTTGAGAGTCAAGTTTTATGCCATCTTCTAAGTAACCATGGGGACTGAATGGTGACAGTGCATGAAGTCTTTCATTACTCATGTTCACATTATTTACTACTTGGCAAATGGTACCAGGGCATAACAGTATTTTATTTGTCATATTTGCATGAGGACTTTCTTATGAAAAGCTTTTATGGTACGTAGCATGTACATAAATTCTCATATAATCACTCTTTTGAGCTACTTCTTATAGTATTGTTTTTTCATTTTTCATTTTTGGGGAAAACATTCAAGATAGGAAAAGTTGGAAGATCATGTCAATCACTTAAAGGTTACCATGCCAACTTGAATGCAAGTTCTGTTATAATTTTTGTTTGTAATCTTTAGAAAATTTAAATTTTAAACCTTAATTTATGACTTGAGATTGAGATAGTTTCTAACCTGGTTATTAGACTTAAAAAAATTGAGTAAAAGCTCCTCTTAAAAGATCTGAAACTTCTAACCAGGAAAAAGTAGAGTTTTAAAAGTATTGTGTGTTTAAAAAAAAAATTGTGCAAATTGTGCCTATGGATGTCTGTGGATAGGTTGCATACATTTTATAAAACTCATATAATATTTATGAAAACATTCTGGTTAAATAAAAAACAAAATGGTCAGCTTTAAAGTTTTTCAAAAGATTTTTTGTCTTAGGGAAGATATGTTACTTGTTATGCTGACAATAGGTTAAATCCCAGGTCGGAGGAGCCGGGCTGTAGTCATGGATTCACACACCTGTCTGCAATCCTGGCTTGCTAGGAAAGCTGGAACCGTGAGTTTACAGAGGAAGAGCTTGCTGCACCTTGGGACTGCTGAGAGTGCCTTCCTGCTGAAGTGTGTTCTTTGCTCAAGCTCAGAGTTTTTCTGGCTGTAGCTGCACACTGCCTCACTACTGGTTTTACCCACATCTGGGACCTTTTCCTGCCTGTCACTGTGGCTCTTGCTCCTCCATGTCCCATGCTGAGCCTGAGAAGGCAACTGGCTGGCTCTTGCCCCTGTGGTGTCTAGAGGTGGACCTGGGCCCAGCCTTGTTGCCCTCCTGGCCTCCACTTCTGGTGGATGTGGACTTCTTGGGCCCTCTTCCTTTCCAAGGACTGGGTTCCTGAAGGCCAGTGGACTGGGACCTCCGGTGTGGGAAGGCGCTGCCTTCACCTCCGCCCGCTTTGCACAGCAGCCCTGGACTTTGTTCAAACAATTTCCTGGCTTACCTTTTTTGGGTCAAGTTTTCTTATTTTAAAATTTCACTGTGGTTAAATCTGAGTTAAAAATGAATGATTTGGAGAATAAGTCAATAAATGGCAGACTTTCTTCATCCCAGGTCTACGTTTTACCCCTGTACGTCTAAGGGGCAGTGGGGCATGGAGTTAAAAGTTAGGGACTCGTAAGCCAGACCATTTTTTTTGGTAATACTGATTCTGCTGGTTACTTCTGTGTGATCTTGGGCAAGTTACTTAAGCTCTTTGTGTCTGAAACTGTTTGGAGTTGGTGAAGTTGAATGAATAAGTGTAAAGGGTCTGGGACAGTATCTGGCACAAATGGTTACACAATGCCACTGTTGCTGCCTCCACCCAGTGGCTGGGCCTGTGACTTGGCACTTCTGTCACTCTCATTACAGCTCTGGCCTCTGCTCTCTTGCCCTGGTGAAGCTTCCACTTTGGCCCGTTACTTTAGGATCCTAAAACAATGTGCTAACATACATATTTTAGGATGTTTATGATGAAAATACCGACACTTTTTATCACAGAATGCACAACTCTGTCTGGGCGTAATGCTGTAAGGTCCTGGTGGGTAGTGTTCTGGGGATTCCAGGCCAGCTGTCCTTGGAATTGACATATTGATTAGCTTCTGAGTTTGGTGTCCCCTCTGCTTTCCAGGTGTCAGCACCCACGTGTGCCTGACGGTGAGAAACAGTTGAGTCACTGAGCAGCTGAAGTCCACTCGGCAGTCTCTCTTCCTTATGGAAATGGGGTTCTGAAATTCTGTATTGTTCTTTTTTTAGAAACCATGCCATCCTCAAAGCCTCATCCACCTGTTGTGGGCAAAGTGACTCATCACAGCATTGAGTTATACTGGGATCTGGAAAAGAAGGAGAAAAGGCAAGGTCCTCAGGAACAGTGGCTTAGATTCTCAATTGAGGAAGAAGACCCCAAAACGCACACTTACGGTATCATTTATACGTAGGTGCAACGTTGGATTGCTTACCATTTTGCTTTGGTTTCCTGATCGTCTAAAGCAATTTCTATTATCTCTGGAAAGCCATTGCTTGTTTTGAAATTAGAAGAATGAGTCAGCACAATTTGCATTCATGCTCTTTTCTGAATTATAATTTTCAGAAAAAAGCATTAGCAGTGACTTTGAAATTAAGCCTCCTGTACCTTGAGAGCTTCTTTGACTTTGGAACTAATTTGAAGGTATGTTTTAGAAATCCAAAATGTAGAGAGAGAAACAGAAGATAGTCTGATGAAATTAAGCAAGGCTTCTAGCAGGTCATGTTCAGAGTTGTGGGATGAGCCCGAATGTGGTCCACGGTGGCCAACTTTCCTGATCTTACATTACTCAGTGTCCCCTTGCCATGTCTCTCCAGCTCCCTTCCTATGCACATGAGTGCACACATGAAGCATGTAAACCTAAGTGTTAATATCTCCAATATTTGAGCAACATTTCTTTGTATCAGAGGGAGGAAAAGGTAATCTGAAATGTAGTTACCATGGGAAAATAATTCCTGGCCTGACCACCTGAAGATGTTATTGTAATCATGCCATATATTCCTCTGTGATGGTGGTTTGCCTCTAAAAGCATGAATCCCACTAGTTTTAAGAATTTCTATGGGGCTGAGGTTGTGGCTCAGTGGTAGAGCACTTCCCTACCATGTGTGAGGGACTGGGTTCGATCCCAGGCACCACCTAAAAATGAACAAATAAAGGTATTGTGTCCACCTACAATTTAAAAAAAAAAAAAAAAAAAAAAGAATTTCTATGGAGAAGGAAATGAGGTGTCACCTTTTTCCCTTAGCCCTCCTGCCACGGTTGCCTGTGGCCTGGAGGGAGCCATCCCAGGTGTTGATTTGCTTCCTCTTGGCTCTTTCCTTCTGCTAGGTGGCCAGGTAGATGCTCACCTTGTCACAGGGAAGGCAGGTGCTCATGTCCCAGCATCATGTGTGCATTTGCACCGTTATATTCTCTCTCGAGACCAGGTTGCCCTGGGGCCAGGGAATGGCCTCGGGTGCTGGCTGGTATTGCTGAGTGGTGGCCCTGCTGCAGACCCCAGCTCCAGGGACATGCCTGGGCTCCTGTGGTCCCTGAGAGACTCGGATGCTCCAACTTGACACTAGGTGGCAGGCGTGCACTATGTTAGTCTTGACCTCTTTTGTTCTGTTCTGGCCTGTGCTCTAGATTGCATTAAACCAGCGAATGTCTTCCTTTAAAAAAGCAATTATCCAGACCATCTGATGATGGGCCTGTGAATTTAGGAACTTCTTCCCGACTTGGGCTCCCCTCCACGGCTTTTCAGAGACGGCCACCTGGTTTTGTGAGCTGGCCCTCGGTGGTCCTCCTAACCCTCTCATTAAGCAGGGCATTTTAGTCTGGTAGAATGCAAGTACCACCGTGGACCCTGGCCCACAATGCCCAACACCCATGTCGCCTTCAGGAGTGGGCTTTGCTCCTCTTTTCCTGCCTTCTATTCCTTTGTTCTATCCTGTAGGTTAATTTTCTTGTTAAATCTCGTTTTGTCAAATTATCTCCAGCAGGTGTCCTTGGCCTGCAGGATGAAGGTCAAGCTCCTTAGACTAAGGTTTGCTTCTCTTCACAGTTTGCCCACCGCTTCTCCTGTTGCCTCATCTCTGAGCACGACCCTCCTATTAGGTCTGCTTCCTGTCTTGAACATGCCTTGACTTTTTCTACAGTTGTGTCTACTCTTCTCCCTGTGCGTCAAGTGTCCCCCTTCATCCCATCCTTTCTCCTGCCAGGTCAGAGTCCCCCTCGACTGAGAATGTCCCTGTGGTCTGCCCTGCCCATCCACTCCTGTGGTAACTGGCCCCATCTCTCATCTCTCCATCCACTGGCATGTATCATTCAGTGCAAGCAATGTGCCCAGGGAATGTCCTGGATGCTGAGGACATGGCACTGGGGACAGGCAGAAATTCCTTGTGGCGAGGAAGACTAGTCATAAATAAGTGTGCCAGGTGTGATCTCTTAAGGCGAAAAACCATAGGAAAAGCTGGGGTCTAGGTGTGGGGGGGGAATTTCACGAGAAGGTAACTTCTGAGTGAAGACTTGAAGCCAGTGGGGGTACCTGGAACATTCCAGGCAGAGCAAGTGGCCAGTGGAAAGCCTTGAGGTGGGAGAGGGCAGGCAGCCGTCCAGGGACTCGGGGGTGGCGTGAACAAGGGCGAGGTTGGTGAGGTCATGAGAGCCTGTGGGTTGGGGGAGGACCTCTGGCTTTTAATGTGAAGTGGGAAAGCCAAAGGAGAAGGGTACGCGGGGCAGGCCTGGTCTGGCTCAGGCTCTGTGAGGACACACTGGCTGCAGGTTGAGCTCGGGCTGACGGGGGCAAGGCAGCATGCAGTGGGAAGGACCGATTAGGAAACTTCTGCAATAACTGAGGTGGGCGAAAGCAGAACATTTTGAGAAATGATTGAACTCAAAATACGTTTTAAAGAGTTTAAAGACTTGCCAGTGTAGCTGGGGAGGCTGAGGCAGGAGGATTGATAGAGCCTGGATGCTCAGGGGCAGCCTGGGCAACAGTGGGACATCCTGTCTCAAAAAAAAAAAAATGATTAAAACAGAGTTTGCCTGGTGGACTGACCTCATCACAAGCTGTCTGGGTTCTTTTACATGCACCGGGCCCTCCGGTTGCCGTTGGTTGCTCATGAGCTGCCAGCTGTCTTTAGGGCACTGCCCTGGGGTCTTTCCCTGCAGTGTTGGGCCTGAAGTATGCAGCTGTCTGAGAGGCAGCCTCCCCCACCCACGGAAGATCCCACTTGAAACTCAAATACATGCACGTTCAAACGTGGAACTTTGTCCTTTAAGGATAAGTGTCATGGGTTAGAATGATTACTTCTCCAGGGTACAAAACTGTATGCAAGCAAGGGGCCAGTCATGGGTGAGGACCTGTGGATAGGGAGGGCATGTGCTGGGAAGGGACAGAGGTGCCAGTGTGACCTGTCCTTTGTTCTCAAAGCATTAAAAAACCCATGACCAGCTCTGTACTGGACATAGACAGTATTCAAAAGTTGCTCCCCCCTGCCCTTGTCACAACCTACGCAGGATGCCTGTCAGATGACCTGGTGTCATCAGCAGTGTGTCGTGTCTCCTCCTGTCTAGGGGATATGCAACGAAGCACGTCATTGAAGGTCTGGAACCGAGGACACTATACAGATTCCGACTAAAGGTCACCAGCCCCTCTGGAGAATGCGAGTACAGCCGCATCATGTCGGTATCCACGACCAGTGAGTACACGGTGCTCGAGGCCGGCGAGTCCAGGGCACAGGCACGAGACGCAGTGCAGAGGCAGTGTCCTGCCTTTCCCCGGCCTCACAGAGCATTCTTACTGCCTGGGCTTCCTGTAACGTGTGACCCAAGGGATGTCCATTATGCTTTCACAGAATGGGAGACGGCTGATTTTGTTCTAGGACTGTCCTGGTCATGGACATTGGCACCAGGGCGGAGTTGCCTTGCTTAGGAAGAGGGCCACGAGTGTGTGCTTAGCCGCTGTGTGTTTGACTGTCCTCTCTGAAGGGGTCAGTCCACTCAGTGTGTGTCTTGACTGGCCAGACACATCTGATTCTTGGGGTCTTGTGAGGAATGCACAGTGCTGCCCCCAGCCACAGAGTGTTCTGGAAGGAATCCTTGCAGAGGGGGTGTCCAGGGAGGCTGGCCACACTGCCTTTGACCACTTTGTCCTTTTCCCAGTTTTATAGTACCTTCTGAGATTGATGTTTGAAAACATTTTAACGATGCAGTGTTCAGTGTCATCTTTAGGTTACCATATTGAACAGGTTAAAATGATCAGAAAAGTCCTTCATGGCCACTCACAATACATACAGATCAGTCTTTTTTGGGTTATATAAAGAAAATATTCCTTTTGTGAGCAAAGTATTTTTCAGTTATATTCAGTGTTTTATGTACATTTTATGTGGCTTTTGATTGTGTCCTTTAGGCATTTATTTATGAGTGGGAGTTAAGAGTATGAAAAGAAATGTTGGCTTTCTTGGCTCACACTGGTGTCTATTAGGAAATACTGGGGCCCATCCACCTGGATCTATAGGGGAAGTGATCATGGCTGTTCTGAAACCAACTGTGGTGGGCTTCAGGTGGTCACTAGTACCCTCTTAGTAGCACAGCAAAGCCAGAGCACGGACTTCCAGGTCTTCTGGCTGGAGTTTCCCTGTTGCTGGTATGCCACGTGGAAATCCTTCAGGAAGGCAGAGAGCAACGGACTGCCTAGCTGCCACGGGTTCTTGTGCCTGCGGGCAAGGTGTGCCTCCTCTTGCCTAGCTGCCTGGGGACAGGCTGCAGACATAGCTGGTCCAGATGCTTGTGCTTACCCCCCACAGCTTCTGTGGGCAGTTAGATAAGACCCCTATGGAACCAGGGCATGCTGGTGATGGCCCACTGTGCTGGAGTGTCACACTGTCTCATTGCTAGGTCCAGCACAAGTGCCTGCAGGCAGGCAGGCAGCCAGGCCTCCTGGGGTGCTACTGGGTGGTAGAAGTCAGGCATCCTCTGCTTTCTAAATGAGGCAGGCTCTGCTGGCGGGATGCTGATCCCTTATGCTATTGTTACAATATCGTGCAGACTCTTAAGGAGGCAGATCATGCTAAACAAAGAATTAAAAATGCACACATTATACAGAGCAAGTGAAAATGCTTCTGTGGGTTGATGATTTGCATTCGGTTGGAGAGCGTTTTAATGAATCACAAAAGCATGTACTTTGTTTGAATAAAGGATGCTCAGACTTTTTTTTTTTTCTTCCCAGGTAAAGTACATGAGACTCTTGCTTAAATGAGGCATGCAATTTTAATCAGCTGGGCCCTTAAAAAAGAAAGAAAAACAGCTGCTACTTGTTAATTGGCAAATATCTTCCCCAATGAGCTCATGATTTATTCACTGCTTTTAATAAAGATCTAAATTCCACCAAGAAAGGTGTTATTGCCATATTATAATATCTGTGGGTACATCTTGCAACTAAATGACCCTCTTGCATAGAATGAATGATGGCTTCCCAAAGACTGCTGTGCCCTCCCCTTCCAGGTGTCCAGGCCACATGCATTACTTCTAGCTCAGAGGAGCATCCAAGGACGTTCTTACCAAAGAAGGATCAGTTTGATGTTTGTAATTGTAGCACTCATAACTCTTGGAAACAAAACATGCAAAGGCTTGCCTTCTTTATATTCAGTTGCACTTATCAATGGCATTCCCTGGGCTAGGCCCACAGGGTCTTAAAGGGCTTGGGGGTGAGTGGAGAGGAACATTCTGTCCACTCTGGAATTTCCTTTCTGTTCTTTGTGACTCCTGCCCAGAGTGGGAGTAGAAAGAATTGCTGTGCATTGCAAACAAAGGCCTTCTCATTTCTTTTCTGTGTCTGTCAAAAATTCGTGTAATCTCTTAAATGTATCTGTTTAAGGTTAGTTCACATGGCTCCAGGGGACATTTTCGTTTTTCTTTGCCTCCTGGGGAGGAGGGTGAATGAGCTAGTGCTGAGAAGGGGCTCTTATTTCCTGACTAATGGCTATTGCTGTCTTCTGCTGAAACTCAGCAAGCAAGGAGTGATGAACAATTATGTTGTCTTTCCCTCTCTTCTATGAGGGGCCCCTTTGTTCTCAGAAAACGTGAAGTGCTGAGTACCTCCTACAGAAGCTGCAATAATACATAGATTTTAATTCTATCATAAAATCAAAATACCCTGGTCTTATAAGCACAAGATGAACTTACTGGGATGTCACATTTCCATGCTGCAGAGTTTCCTGGTCAGGATGTGCTAGGAAGCAACCCCCCATTGGGAGGGCCTCGCTGAGCAGGTAAGGTGGGTGATGTGGAATGGAGTCATCAGTGGACAGCTGTGGGATGCGGCAGTGATTTTGACTTTTTCTCAAAAAGCCCAAGAAATTGGCATTTTCTGAAACTTCTCAATCATCCCTTCAATGAACACTTTGGCAAGGAATCAGTGTTTTAAGATGTCTGTATTCAAAATTTATTTAGAGTGGAAGTGTGTAGCAAATTGGTCAGATACCCCACCACTCTCTTCCTCCTCCTCCTCCCTCCTTCCTCCCTCCTTCCTCCCTCCTTCCTCCCTCCTTCCCCCCTCCTTCCCCCCTCCTTCCCCCCTCCTTCCCCCCTCCTTCCCCTCTCCTTCCCCCCTCCCCTCCTCCCCCTCCTCCCCCTCTTCTTCCCTCCTCTTCCCTCCTCCTCTCTCCCCCTCCCTCCTCCCCCTCCCTCCTCCCCCTCCTCTTCCCTCCTCCTTCCCTCCTCCTTCCCTCCTCCTTCCCTCCTCCTTCCTCCTTCCCTCCTTCTTCCTCCTCCTCCTCCTCTCTTCCTCCTCCTCCTCCTCCTCTCTTCTCCTCTTCCTCCTCTCCCTCCTCCCCTCCCCCCTCCCCCTCCCTCCCCCCCCCCTCCTCCCCCCTCCCCTCCTCCCCCTCCCCTCCCCTCCTCTCCCCTCCCCTCCCCTCCCCTCCCCTCCTCCCCCCTCCTCCCCTCCCCTCCCCTCCCCTCCCCTCCCCTCCCCTCCTCCCTCCCCTCCCCTCCTCTCCCCTCCTCCCCTCCCCTCCTCTCCCCTCCTCCCTCCCCTCCCCCTCCCCTCCCTCCCCCTCCCTCCCCCTCCCCTCCCTCCCCCTCCCTCCCCCTCCCTCCCCCTCCCTCCCCCTCCCTCCTCCTCCCCTCCCCCTCCCTCCTCCTCCCCTCCCCCCCTCCCCCTCCCTCCTCCTCCCCTCCCCCCCTCCCCCTCCCTCCTCCTCCCCTCCTCCCCTCCCCCTCCCCCTCCCCTCCTCCCTCCTCCCTCCTCCCTCCTCCCTCCTCCCTCCTCCCTCCCCCTCCCCCTCCCCCTCCTCCTCCCCCTCCTCCTCCTCCCCCCTCCTCCTCCCTCCCCTTTCCTCCCCCCTCCTCCCCCCTCCTCTCCCTTCCTCCCCCTCCCCTTTCCTCCCCCCTCCTCCCCCCTCCTCTCCCTTCCTCCCCCTCCCCCTCCCCTTCCCCCTCCTTCCCCCTCCTTCCCCCTCCTTCCCCCTCCTCTCCCCCTCCCCCTCCCCTTCCCCCTCCTCCCTCCCTCCTCCCTCCCTCCTCCCTCCCTCCTCCCTCCCCCTTTCTCCCTCCCTCCTCCCCCTTCTCCCTCCCTCCTCCCCTTCCTCCCCCCTCCCCTCCTCCTTCCTTCCCTCTTCCCTCTTCCTTCCCTCTTCCTCCTCCTCCTCTTCCCTCTTCCTCCTCCTCCTCTTCCCTCTTCCTCCTTCCTTTCTTCTTCGTCCTCCTCCTTCCTTTCTTCTTCCTCCTCCTCCTTCCTTTCTTCTTCCTCCCTCCTTCCTTTCTTCTTCCTCCTCCTCCTTCCTTCTTCTTCCTCCCTCCTTCCTTCCTTCTTTCTCCTCTTCCTTCCTTCTCACTCCTCCTCCTCCCTTCCTTCTCTCCTCCTTTTTCTTTTTGGTCCTAGGGTTTGAACCCAGAACACTCTACCACTGAGCTGCATCCCCATCCCTAGTTTTATTTTCTATTTTGAGACAGAATCTCATTAAATTGCTGAGGGCCTTGTATAATTGTTGAGGCTGGCTTTTGAACTTGTGATCCTCCTGTTTCAGCCTCCTGGGTTGCTGGGATCACAGGCATGAGCCACCTCACCCAGCTCCTCTTCTTAAATACTAAAGGGAAGTGGCCGTGGACTCTGATGCTGGGTGACCTTGGGCAATTTAGCCTTCCTGATCTCAGAGAATTTTAAAAGTACCGTGGGTATTTGGTGGGGGGTGGGGAGACATTGTGTAAAGTCCTACGTACATCTTAATTTATAGGATTGGATTTAGGATACCACACATCTTAACTTCAGTAGTGGTAGGATGAACTTGCATGTTCCTACAGACAGATATCCTATCTTTGGCAGCTGGAGTTTGAGGGTCACAGAAATGGGGGCTGTTTGGTGGGACAACAGACTTAATAGCCACATTGCTTTCTCCCTCTTTCCAGTTAGTAAGAGGGAAAGGAAAACAGTCTGTGGTTAGTTTGTCCACTGAAAGTGTGGGTGGGTCACGTGGCAGGTGACTTAAATCCATCTTCATCTATCCCAGGGTTCTCGGCCACTGTGCTTTGAACACTGTGGTTGTTGGTGGACTGTGCTGTGCCCTGCAAGGTGTTGAGTGGTATCCCTGGCCCCTCTCTGTTAGCTTCCAGGAGCACCCCTTCAAGTTGTGACAACAGGGTCACCAGATGTTACCAAATGTCCTTTCCTTAGCCCCGCTGGTGAAACCCCTAGGCTGAGGTTCTCCCTTGGAAGGTCACAGAAAACCTGGGCCTTGGCCTTTGATAGTTTATCATGGGGCTTTTATTTGAAGACTTGGTCTACAAATATATGTGGAATGATGAATAGGAAGTACAATGTGGCTGAAAACCTTTTAGAGATTGACAAACTCAGAATTGTTGTTTCAAATAACTTTAAACTAGCATAAATTGATATTTACCTGAAAAGAGAGAAGGCTTCTCTGGTGAAGGACTCCTTTATTTTCATCCATTGGTTTGTGCCCTGCCCAGTTGACTTCGTGACCAATGCTGTCCAAAGAAGCCAGGAGAAAAGGGCTTCTATGCCTGGGAGGGACTGACATCCCGGAGGGCCGTGCTGCGAAGCGGGGCTGACTGACCTTGCAGGCCAGGCTGTGAGAGGCGAAGTGAGCACAGACCAGGAGGCAGCTGGTGCGGTGCTGGACGGTGGGCTAGGTGCAGGTGTTCTTGTGGGATTCAGAACAGTAACAGGCTGAAAGTGGACGCTGCAATGTAGACCAGCAGGGAGAGGACCCTGTTTGTCTCTGAGACTACAGCACCGAGGAGCCCTCAGTGTGCAGGCTGCTCCTAGTGTTTCTGGAAGGGTGGAGGAGGCCTATGAGAGGGATAGAGCAGGGCTGGTCCACTCAAGGGCCTGGGGAGGGCAGTGGGCTTGCAGTGCAGGTGGGGAAGGAACAGGGTGGGGCCAGAGAGACCACGATGGCAGCTGCCACTGGTGCTCCTGCCTCGGAAGCAGGTGTGTGTGTGAGGTCTCCCATGGGCCAGGGCCAGTCTAGGCGCTTCCCTTACATTTAAGCTTAATCATGATAGTTCAAAAAATCTGAAAGGCATGGTGTATGAGACAAAAGAAAGCTGAAATAAACACCTTGAAAGACAGCTGCTTCATGCGTGGGCCTTGATTCCCACACTGCTCCTGTTCATCTCCTGCCTCATCCTCCTCCCTGCAGAGGTGATGGTCACGTAGGATCCCCCACCCACTTCACTTACCCCCTGGTCTTCTCTAGGCTTTCTCTTGGGATTGGGTTTTCATTTTGGCAAATAGCTCCTTGTGTCAATTGCTGAGCTTTCTCTTGCATGGAGGAGACATTTACTGAGCCTGATAAGATCCAAAAGTGTTATTTCAGATATCTGAAATAACACAAAGCAAGACTTACTAACATGACACCTTCCCAAGCTTTAGGTCAGTCGGAGTGTTCTCTTCTCTGGTGCAAGTGAGATCTCTTTGAAAGAAGCAGTTGTGTAGAAAACTCAGGATCTCCTTGGGGGGAAAGCCCAGAGCCCACGAGCAGCTGTGGGAGGAGCACGGTGACTCTGAGTCATCTTCCCTGCATTTGGATGATTGCTTTCCATCTTGTTTCTTCAGGAGAACCCATTAGCAGTGAGCACTTTCATCGAGCTGTCAATGTGAATGATGAAGATTTGCTTGTTCAAATCCTTGAAGGAGGGTGAGAGAACTCTGCCAGCTTATTTTTTAAAATATATAAAGTGCATAGAAATATGTGATATAGCTTTATTTTAGTTTCCTAAAAATTCCATGCCATTCAAACTGCCTTCCAAATTGATCTCAGGTGCCTGGTGTGAGTCAAAGCATAGTCAATAGAGCCGATCATGAAGTCCCATATCAGTGTCATAGTCATTATTTAATGAAAATTGTAAAAGGTAATTATAAGTCTGGGTGTTATATTTATTCCACAAAATAATTTCTGTCCCTTGTTTATATGCTATAGCATTTAGGCAGATTTTACTCCAAAAATACTTGCACCTAATTCTGATGAGATTAGGGAATCGCTAAATGAGCTTCGTTCTAATTGAGGAGGTTGGTAGGACACTGGAGAAAGATGGTGGGCACAGCTGCTGGGGATGAGAGGTGCGAAGCTGCCTCCCAAATGCAAAGATGTTATCTAGGTTCCTTTTTAGTCAGTAAATTTTTGAGCTACTTATGTGACAAGTGGTTTGTGAATTGGGGCTCTGTGAGTTGGAGCAGAGAAGGTTCCTACAGAAAGCCAAGCTTCTGAGCTGACAGTAAGAGCTCTGCTTTCCTCTGAGCAACACTGATTTATATCCCGTAGGTGAGATGGAAGTCAAGGGTTAACCTTGGGTCTCTGCCAATATGGGCTTGTGGTTGGGAGAGCTACGGAAGTCTGCAATGAAGACACTGTCCCCTGCCACCTTCAAGAGACTGTGTCTGTCATAGTGTGTTATCCACGGCACCATGGCTTGAATTGAAAGGAATGTCCGTTTTATGTGAACTTATGATTTTTTCTTATAAATTTGAATATCTAAGAATATTAGGGCATTCTAAACAATAAAAACTTGATGGCCCAAAAGAAATGGGGATTTTTGGTAAAATGAGCTATTGTAGCCTCCTGTGCCTTGCAGGTGTCACCACCTACATATCTACACAGAGCTGCACTAAGCATATTGATCTCTTTTCTCTGTTTTTTCTCAAGCCATGTCAAGGTTGATGTTCCCAATAAGTTTGGCTTTACTGCTCTGATGGTTGCTGCCCAGAAAGGATATACCAGGTAGGGCACTTTGCTCATCCCGAGTGACAGGTTGAACATTTCCCTTCCCCCAGAGGCGCCAGTCAGGATGGGGATGGGAGGGAGTGGGTCCAGGGAACCTAGCTTCTTTTCTCTTTCCCAAACTGATCCCTCTGAATTCAGCTGCTTTTATCATAAAGCTATATAGCATGCAGGAGAAAACATCCCAGGTGTGTGGTTGTATATTAGGGAAGAGAGGAGCCAATTAATTCCATGCAGTTTATCTAATATCTCCTGGGAATACTGGCTATTGGAATTTGAATTTCTTTAAAGCAATTTAAAAAGGATAGGTGGGGAACATTTTGGAAAACAAATTTCCCTGGTAGATGTCAAGATATGATTTTGGTAACACAAAGTTAGGTATCATGCTTACATCTATTTCCCAAATATATTTACATTTTTTTCGTAATACAATTGCATTTTGAAAAAAATAGAAATGTTTTTATTAAATGCTGTCATTTTAAAACAACTGTTAAAATGATAGTTTTGAGAGTCTGAGTTGTATCATGTGGGTAGTTTGATTTTATTGACTAATTAATTAAGATCAAGGTATAAATCTGTTTTTTGGTGTGGTGGGGGTTTTCCAGCTTAATAATGTCCTGTTCTCAAAACCAGCTGGCTTTCGAAGATGGAGAAGTTGTTGCAGGATGTGACATTTACTGCGTTATCATAGGTTCCACGTCATCCAGGCAACTTACCTATATTGTCAACTTTGTTTCCTTTAGGCTTGTGAAAATCTTAGTTTCTAATGGTACAGATGTGAATCTGAAGAATGGCAGTGGCAAGGACAGGTAGGAGGGGCGTGATTGAAACTGTGTTATTCAGCTGGAGCCCAGAGGGGTTTTGACCCAACCCTAAAGTTTTCTTTAGCTTCTTTTGAAAGTACCAGAAAGCAAGCGGGTCCCAAAGGAAAGGTGGTGAGAACAAACCTGGTCTGTTCACCGAGACTCTCATTCATCAGGGTGTTTGGGGGGAATCAGTCACACTATTTCTGCCTTCTCTAGCCCAGTAAAGAACCCTTAAGATGGCATCCCATCTCTGCGCAGGCCTTGGCTACGAGCGCTGCCCCAGCTCTGTGTTCCTCTCTCGGCGCTCTCCTTGCACCTCAGCCTTCTCTGTTTACTGAGAACCCCTGGTGTTTCTAAGGAAGTAGCCAAAGACACGGCATCCTCAGGGTTATACAAAATTACATACAAGAGGAAGTGAGGGGAAAGGGAAAAATAATACAAGGGGGAGAAATGAATGACAGTAGAGGGGGCAGAGAGAGAAGAGGGGAGGGGAGGGGAGGGGGGATAGTAGAGGATGGGAAAGGCAGCAGAACACCACAGACACTAGTATGGCAACATGTAAATCAATGCATGTGTAACTGATGTGATTCTGCAATCTGTATACGGGGTAAAAATGGGAGTTCATAACCCACTTGAATCAAAGTGTGAAATATGATATGTCAAGAACTATGTAATGTTTTGAACAACCAACAATAAAAAATTAAAAAAAAAATACAACCACAAAACTTTCCTGAAGTTTCCATCTGGACTGGCCGAGGGCAGTACAGGAAAAGTTCATGGAAAGAGTGTGAGAGGAGGAGAGGTAAAAGAATGTTTTTGAAAGCTGAAATACTTGACAATTTAGGTTTAATTAGTTCATCCAAACCAACCAACATTTATTGAATAACTCACACATGCCAGGCACTGTGCTTGGTGCTTGGGTAGAAGACGGAGCAAAATGCAGAGGTCTGTTCTCAGGGTCACAGCATGCACACAGACCACAGGTTAGGACACCACATGTGACCATCATGGGATAGCGTAAAACACCAGTCATCTATAGTGGCTCTGCAGGCAACACCACTTTCTAAAGCCAGAAAGCTTACCTACTCTACTCTTGGACACAGTGCAGTAACAGATTTTAAATGACATTTAAAAACTTAAATCTGAAAAGTGTTTTCCAAATAATTAGGCTAGTTGATGGCTTAGTTCCAAATTTAAAAAGTTTAAAAAGAATAATGATAATTTACAAAGAAAAAGGGACAGGGGAAAAAAAGGAAAGAAAGAAAGAAAATAGAGATAAAACTTAATTAACCAAAAGTGAAAGATTATTGAGAAATATAAGAGTTGCCTCTTAAATAAGAACTTGTATGATAACATAAAACAGTCTCTTGTAAATCTAAAGCAAAATTAGAAATATGGAGGGAAAATAATCGAGGAAATTTACAATGAAATGGTGCATTTGTGTCTAATAGATTTGATAATTTCATTGAAATGGACGCTTTATTGGCGAAACTTTAAACCACCAAAATCAACCCGTGAAGCAGAAAATCTGAAATAACCTACATCTATACAGAAAATTAGAAAATTTATGGAAGCATAGTTTCTGTGGCTTAACTATCCCACCATTAGTTTCTAGGGACCATTAATAATCTTGAGCTTTTCCAGGGCATAGAGGAAACTGCAAACCTACCTATTGCCAAAACCTGGTAGTAAGAGAAGGATACCTGCGTGTGTGTTTGTAGGCATTGACAGATCTCCTCCTTCAACTCAGAGCATTAGGAAGGTAAGGGAATGTAGTATTAGGAGATTTCCATGCTAACACTTCCCACCAGTAGGTTAAAGGTGAAAATGAAAATAGCATCAACCCAGTGCCTTAAATGAGTAACCCAGTGTCTTATTTTTTAAAGTGAAGGATGCTTCCAGCGCCCCCCCCCCCCCCCCAGTGTCTGGTACATGGCTGGTGGAAATGTATATCAACACTTAGCAGCATACAATAGGTTTGTGTTTTGTTTTTTGAGGCAGGGTCTCACTGTGTTGCCACAATGGCCTTGAACTCACAAACTAACTGCCTTGGAGTTGCTTGGATTACAGGTATATGACACTATGTGTAGCACCATACAAAGTGTAGCACCATACAAAGATCCCAGACAATTAGCCAGTGTCATTCTTAGCATTGACAAATTCCTTTTCTCAATGATAGTGATGCCCATAAGAAAGGTGTAAAGAGCACAGGCAAAGCAGACATCTTGATGTCAAATCCTGATCCCGGTATGGATGCTGTGTGTGACCTTGGGCAGGTTACTTACTTTCTCTGTACTTCTATAAAATGGGGAGGAGAGAAATACTTTATGATTGTATTGTTGTGAGCATTTATTGAGTTTAATATATGAAAAGTGTAAAACAGCACTTGGAATATGGTAATGTTATGGCAAGATTCCAATAAATCACTGAGTCGATCTTTTTTTTTTTTAATTTTTATTGTTGGTTGTTCAAAACATTACATAGTTCTTGATATATCATATTTCACACTTTGATTCAAGTGGATTATGAGCTCCCATTTTTACCCCATATACAGATTGCAGAATCACATCAGTTACACATCCATTGAATTACATATTGCCATACTAGTGTCTGTTGTATTCTGCTGCCTTTCCTATCCTCTACTATCCCCCCTCCCCTCCCCTCCCCTCCCCTCTTCTCTCTCTGCCCCCTCTACTGACATTCATTTGTCCCCCTTGTATTATTTTTCCCTTTCCCCTCACTTCCTCTTGTATGTACTTTTGTATAACTCTGAGGGTCTCCTTCCATTTCCATGCAATTTCCCTTCTCTCTCCCTTTCCCTCCCACCTCTCATCCCTGTTTAATGTTAATCTTCTTCTCCTGCTCTTCGACCCTACTCTGTTCTTAGTTGCTCTCCTTATATCAAAGAAGACATTTGGCATTTGTTTTTTAGGGATTGGCTAGCTTCACTTAGCATAATCTGCTCTAATGCCATCCATTTCCCTATAAATTCTATGATTTTGTCATTTTTTAATGCAGAGTAATACTCCATTGTGTATAAATGCCACATTTTTTTTTATCCATTCATCTATTGAAGGGCATCTAGGTTGGTTCCACAGTCTTGCTATTGTGAATTGTGCTGCTATGAACATGGATGTAGCAGTGTCCCTGTAGCATGCTCTTTTTAGGTCTTTAGGGAATAGACTGAGAAGGGGAATAGCTGGGTCAAATGGTGGCTCCATTCCCAGCTTTCCAAGAAATCTCCATACTGCTTTCCAAATTGGCTGCACCAATTTGCAGTCCCACCAGCAATGTACAAGTGTACCCTTTTCCCCACATCCTCGTCAGCACTTGTTGTTGTTTGACTTCATAATGGCTGCCAATCTAACTGGAGTGAGATGGTATCTTAGGGTGGTTTTGATTTGCATTTCTCTGACTGCTAGAGATGGTGAGCATTTTTTCATGTACTTGTTGATTGATTGTATGTCCTCCTCTGAGAAGTGTCTGTTCAGGTCCTTGGCCCATTTGTTGATTGGGTTGTTTGTTCTCTTATTGTCTAATTTTTTGAGTTCTTTGTATACTCTGGATATTAGGGCTCTATCTGAAGTGTGAGGAGTAAAGATTTGTTCCCAGGATGTAGGCTCTCTATTTACCTCTCTTATTGTTTCTTTTGCTGAGAAAAAACTTTTTAGTTTGAGTAAGTCCCATTTGTTGATTCTAGTTATTAACTTTTGTGCTATGGGTGTCCTATTGAGGAATTTGGAGCCCGACCCCACAGTATGTAGATCGTAGCCAACTTTTTCTTCTATCAGACGGCGTGTCTCTGATTTGATATCAAGCTCCTTGATCCATTTTGAATTAACTTTTGTGCATGGTGAGAGAAAGGGATTCAGTTTCATTTTGTTGCATATGGATTTCCAGTTTTCCCAGCACCATTTGTTGAAGATGCTATCCTTCCTCCATTGCATGCTTTTAGCCCCTTTATCAAATATAAGATAGTTGTAGTTTTGTGGATTGGTTTCTGTGTCCTCTATTCTGTACCATTGGTCCACCCGCCTGTTTTGGTACCAGTACCATGCTGTTTTTGTTACTATTGCTCTATAGTATAGTTTGAAGTCTGGTATCGCTATACCGCCTGATTCACACTTCCTGCTTAGCATTGTTTTTGCTATTCTGGGTCTTTTATTTTTCCATATGAATTTCATGATTGCTTTCTCTATTTCTACAAGAAATGCCGTTGGGATTTTGATTGGCATTGCATTAAACCTATAGAGAAGTTTTGGTAATATCGCCATTTTGATGGTGTTAGTTCTGCCTATCCATGAACAGGGTATATTTTTCCATCTTCTAAGATCTTCTTCTGTTTCTCTCTTTAGGGTTCTGTAGTTTTCATTGTATAAGTCTTTCACCTCTTTTGTTAGGTTGATTCCCAAGTATTTTATTTTTTTTGAAGATATTGTGAATGGAGTGGTTGTCCTCATTTCCATTTCAGAGGATTTGTCGCTGATATACAGGAATGCCTTTGATTTATGCGTGTTGATTTTATATCCTGCCACTTTGCTGAATTCATTTATTAGCTCTAATAGTTTCTTTGTAGACCCTTTTGGGTCTGCTAGGTATAGAATCATGTCATCTGCAAATAGTGATAATTTAAGTTCTTCTTTTCCTATTTTGATGCCTTTAATTTCTTTCGTCTGTCTAATTGCTCTGGCCAGTGTTTCGAGAACTATGTTGAACAGAAGTGGTGAGAGAGGGCATCCCTGTCTTGTTCCAGATTTTAGAGGGAATGCCTTCAATTTTTCTCCATTCAGAATGATGCTAGCCTGAGGGTTAGCATAGATTGCTTTTACAATATTGAGGTATGTTCCTGTTATCCCTAGTTTTTCTAGAGTTTTGAACATAAAGGGATGCTGTACTTTGTCGAATGCTTTTTCCGCATCTATCGAGATGATCATATGGTTCTTATTTTTAAGTCTATTGATGTGGTGAATAACATTTATTGATTTCTGTATATTGAACCAGCC